TTCAGGTAAGTGCTGGTATCATCTTTTTGAAATTTATATCCAGCAAAGTTTATGAAATTTGCTATATTATGTAGAAAAATCATGAAATTTGAAGGTTGCGAAGTATAGTTAATTTAATCCGCAATATTACATGATGTGAAAATTACCACAGGGAAATAGCTCTGCCCTGATTAGTCACAGGCTATGTGAGCCAGACAATAGGCTGAGCACACAAAGACACACAGGGTGCTCTGCTGCGCCTGAGTGATCACTGCTGGTCAGTGGGCACAGGTTTTGAGCTGAGAAGTGTGGACACTTTTGGTGGATTTTTGCAGTTAAAAAACTTCAATATCTTTGTTGCTTGTAGGAATATTTAAAAAATTCCAAATGATTTCATCCGGTTTTTGCATTACCTTTCAGATGATATAAGTATTTTAATTTTCTGACCAGTTTGAAAATTTTTCTGATATACCTATAATAATAATAACAATTATAACATGAAAAACAGAATAATTACTTATATGTAAACTGATCATGCTGGTTTTCGAAAGCAACCTGGCAACCAAGGCAAATGCCTAAAATGTACATATGCCAAACAGGCATATTTTAAAAAAAAAAATCTTTTCTGGCAATCGAGTTAACAATTCTGGCAACCTTGACAACTGGAACCCCTACTGGACTACCAGGCGCTGACAGTTAATGTCGGGCCCTGATTTTGCAATGCTTTTCATACTTACAACTTTTTTTGCATTAATTGGCTTCTGTCTTTCAGTTCCATAAAATTAAAATGACCTCTACCCTTATTTTTTGGATGTCAACCATCAGTACCGCGAAAATAAGCAGGCATGTGGAGTTAGAATTTTGTTGAAATATTTGTCTCGGCTATATATTTTCATCTTGATTGAATCTCATATTGAAACCTGCAAATATAAATAATTTCATGAATAAACCGCATTATATTTAAGCATAACTGCATTGTTATAAAACAGTTTTTGCTTTTATATCACGTATCAAAACTTCGAAACAATCTTCAATCTCACGGACTTGGAAGCGCGAAGGCGGTGAGAGCAGACGCCGCTGCAGTTTACAGATAACACGAGCAAAAACGATGGAAACCATTGCAGCAGTCGTATACGGATGGTTTACGAGTGTGCAAAGTGTAATACACAATTAATGGCGCCAAATCCTGTTGGCCTGAAGTGGACATGGGTCTTTGGACAATGTTACTGAACCATAAGTACTGGTATACTCTGTCTCCATCTTCATTCTTCAATCATTTCGTATTTTTGTCGCCGAGCAAGTGTTTCTTAATTCATAATTCATAAGAATTACTTACATAAAAGCTTCTTCACCATGTTATGACTTGTGTTTTTATTTGCCCAACAGTGCATATAAGTCTATAGTGCGTACTTATACTTTATACTAGTATACATGTAGATTATAAATAGGATTTGACTGACTGTGTACATTAAATAGAGACAAGTTGATAAACAAGGTAGCAAAGCTGTCAAATGTACAGACAAAAAATAGAAAATAACAATGCAAAAAATAGGAAACTGTTAATTCTAATGCAATAATACATTATGCTTAACTGCATAGTCAACATCAAATTTATTATGCATGCTGATTTTCGATTTTGACCTGCCGTATTATGAATATTCTTCAGTTGTGTAAGTTTCAAGCCAAATGGTAAAATAGTTTTCCACTTATCGTGTTATACGTGAAAGTGCACAACGACAGCGACGACAGACACATCTGTGTCTGTAAATAAAAAGTAATCTTAATTTAGTATTTCTCAGGCACAATCTAATACATTTTGTTACACCTGAGACTCAAGAACTTGCCTATACACAATTTAAATTATGAGGACAGTCTGCTGAATATATATACATTCACAAACAATGTGTTCTTTGGTCTGTATAGAACCAAAAGCACATAATCTTAGGTCATGAGGGGTTCTGAACCAACTGCCTTTTTCGATTGCCAAATCATGGGCAGATAATCTCAGTTTGGTAGCAGTTACTGTGTTCTCCTCCTCTGCCCACTTTGTATACATTGTGTATACAGTAAAGCATGGGTTTACATTTACATAATGCACACTTTTACTGCTTGGTTATTTTGAATAGCTATTTTTCGTTTTTCAACATCTAATAGCTAGCTCCCTTAGTTTGGGCGTTCCCACACAGTTCCCAAACTGTTAGAAAAGGGTTGTCTGTTAACCCTGATCTTTCAGATGGTATTCTTGAAAGGAATAGTTTTTGAGTTCTTTTAACTTTTGCGGTCAACACAGGTGAGTCAAGTTCTGCCAGCATCAGATCGTTGGGCATGGACATCCTCACTCCTACCTGTATTTTATAGCTTGCCATATACAGTACTTTAGCTGTGTTAGCCCCGCCCTGCAATATGTATTGTCGCTTGCCCAATATATGAAAAGTGCACATAAGGCTAAAAGGGATTATATTTACCCAGGTCATTACTTAGAATAAGTTGTATCATTGTGAAGGCAGTTTTACTGCAGACTTTTGTGAGCCTGCTCAAAGATACCAACAACAGGTCACATGATAAAAAACCCAATTTAACCATGTTGACATTGTTTACTGCCTCCATAATTGCAAATAATGGAACATCTAGGTATTTTCAAGGTGTTACTTTCTCAGGCTTTTTCTTTGATGATATTTTGCTCTTGCATTATCTGAAGGTGTCAGCAGTCAAGATTTGTCTACTAGTTGGCTGTAAGTTTTCTACCTAGAGTAGGTTATGTGTCAGTGTGTCTGAGAATAGCACAGTATCCTGCATGGAACTTGAGAGAACTTCCTTTGTTCATGACAGAACTTTTCACCTGCTGTTTTCAACATGAAACGATCATTAGAGCGTGCAAAGTTAGGTTCATTGTATTTATCTATTTCCTGTTAACCTGTTAAGGTATGTTCCCTATTAAATGGACCAAAGGTGCTGTGCCGTGCAAGCTGACAGTTACATGTCAAAATCATTTGGGAAGTTCTGATTAAACACAAAAATAGCAAACCCCTGCCCAAATATCAGATATTTCAATATTTTTGGTGATTTCATTTTAATCCCAAATCCCAATTTTACCTCTAAATCTAAAGTCCAGTCAGCCCAGGCCTCTAACACTAACTAGTACTACCTAACCCTTAACTCCAACCTAATCCTAACCCTAAGGGGCCAGGGCAGGAAACTGCACAAATGCTGCTAATTCCCACTGTTAAAGTGTTATTTTAACGGGTAAAGAGTACACTGTAAGGATCATCAAATCAGAAGTAAGCTCAGCACTTGGGCTTTATTTTATGAGCATATTGAAAGGACAAAGAAAGTCAAGATGTAGTTATTTTTTCAATCCACTATATGTACATGAAGTACATGGGGTGGGGAATAGAGCAGCAAAAAAGGGAGTATGTGCTCTGAAAAGTGTATATTTAGTTTATTGCAGTGATTTTATGATAAGTATTTCACTTAAAAATGGAGAGAAAGCTGGTTGCACATATTATTTTAAATGTACTTTATGTAAAAGAGGCAAAATGTAAGTGCAGTCTACTCAAAGTTCTTCTGTGTTAGGAGTTTAACCACTTTGGTTAATAAAAAAAACTTCATATAGTGTTTGTGTTTTTTTTTTTATTTCTATTTATTTATTTATTTTGACATTTTCACATTTCAGCATAGACAATAGTTAGCCCAAGAGTGTGAACAGGTCACAAACTAGTTACTTCAACAAAAGCCCCAGATGTTGGAAGGTGGGCAAATAGTTATCATTTTAGTTTGCAATCTTTCATTGCTGTTGTCTATTAAATCAAAGGAAGTTTGTCTTCAAACTTCAAAACTTTGTTCTTTTTATTTTGTGCCAAGAAAAGACATTATTCAGAATGTTTAACAGATATATGGTGTAGATACTGAAAATGTGTTTCTGTTATTTTGTTAATTTAATTGTGTTTGCAATCAGTGACAATATATCATCATTCCACATATTTACAGCATGTCTGGCTGAAATGTTCACACTGCAATAAAGTCCTTGACAAGAAGTATCGTCCAACACCCAGAAGGTTGGATAGCCACCAAGGGGCCTTTACTTTGTATTTGAACAGACTTGAGAGGTAAGCAGATCTTTAAAGAGGCATGATTTTATATGAGGCTATGTGTCATATTGTTGTTGAGGTGAAACTTGAATGGTGTGTGAAATAATTATTTATCACTCTAAGATGTTGGCATGTTTGGATTTTTTAAATTTATTTATTTATTTTTGCATGTATTATGGTGATGTTTGTCTCATATGCTTCTCATATGTTTGTCTCATATGCGTCAAATAGTGCTTTTATTTCAAATTTAGTGTGTAAAAATGTCAAACAACAAGCATAGGTCAGATTTTTTTTTTACTTTGGGTTTTTTTTGTTAAAACAAATATTAATGCTGGGTTGATTTTAATAAAATTAACCAGGAAAGCTGAATAAGAGTCAAGTTTTGTACAGACTGAGAAATTTTCTACACGACTGCTCCTTGTTACAGTACAAATATCAGCTTCTTCAATTAGTTTCCTTTAGACCAGTTGGTCCATTTTGTCACAATGAAGCCATCAACCTGCTCACTACACATGATGTCATGTAGCCCAAGACTAGAAAACATGGCTAAGTTAATATAAAATTGTGGATCCCCCTAGCTCTGAGCCTGTGTTTCAAATGTTTTTAAATATAAATTGGAACAGATGTTGTCCATTGTGTGTGTTTGTGTGTATTCTGTAGATCTAACTGGTGGAGTGAATAAACATTTAAAAACTCTTAATGTAAATATTTCTTGTGATACAATTATTGGTTTCATTTCAGATGAAGATTCTTCTTGTTACCCTCAATCAGAGAGTGTGCTATTTGGAATCATTGCTCCCTTCTGAACCAGCTCAGTCCTCCCATCGTTCAAGTAATGTTGCAACAGTGGCTCCATCTAGTGGGACAGACAGCTCTACAACAGTGGCTCCATCTGGTGGGACAAACAGCTCTGCAGCAGTGGCTCCATCTGGTGGAACACAAACAGATTGACAGCAGAAAAACAAGCAGGTTTTAAGTTGAGCTGGACAAGAAAATAAAGTAGATTGATCTACAGGATTGTCTGCAAAATCATGGTTTTGTTAATAGAAAAGCGAAGATGCCATCACAGATGTTAAATCAGACTTGTTTTTACAAAATTATCAAGTTTTTTTTTTTTTTAGATGAGTGTCTGGTGAAGACTGGTTCTCACGTGTAATTTATCCCATAAATCTTAAACTTGGCTAAAAGAGATGTGAAGGAAGTCTTCATCATTATTAAATCATTCTTTTTATAATATTTATATAAGTTGAGGATCTAGTAAATACTGGCACCCAGTTTAATTTAAATGTAATTAATCTTTGTGTAAAAAAAACTGCATTTATCTTCATGAATGATGTTAAAAGGGACATTTTTACAAGTATTGTTTCAAGGTGTGCATGAGACTAGTGAATACGGACTTTCACTCAGCAATTAATACCATTTCAAAATAATTGAAGTCTTTAGTTAAAGGGATAATAACTCTTCATATGAGATCTATATTTCACAATAAAAACATTGTTAATAACTCATAGAAATATAATGTATTCTGTTTTACCACAAAAATGGCAGTTATAGCTATTATTCTGATATCTGAGCTTGTCTTTAGACCACGTGACCTCCATTGACAGCTATACTCTTTTTGACCAAACTTTTTTGAAAAAAAACCACGGACTAACTTTGAATGTAAAAATGGATTCATTAACCACTGGTAAGTATGGGAAAATTGTTGTTTACTCCAGGAAAATTCATTTTTTGGTCGAAAGGAAGAGTTATTATACCTTTAATGGTAAAACAGACTTGTATCTCTTCACAATTATTTATTGTTTTGCTTGAGCATCTGTTGAACACTACTGGCTTCATCTGTAGTTAATAGTAAATACCATTAGTTCATATGGCTTTGAAATTATTTGAAATTATCCTTATGATTTGTAAAGAATTATCTTACTAAACGTTCAATGTAGTAAAAGCCCGAGTCGATATTGTATCCATAACAATTCTTTTGAATCAATCCCAGATAAAATAGATCAAAATGCATTGTGTTCTTTTTAAAGCTACCATTATCAGTTTGTGTTGTAATTTGTTTGAGACTGACAAATACTTAACTATGTGTATGATTGTCTGAAGCATGTTTCTTAGATGAGCTAGACCACTGTTGTTTTTTCTTTGGCAGTCTTCAGGAATTCTTCAGTTCGATTCGAGTTCTCCATATGTACAAGAAATAAACTAGTAATTAAAAAAAATTGCCTGAAATCATTTCAATCTGTAGTTGATCTCCATGGAGTGTAAGACCCCGTTTCCAGAGATTAGATCTACTTTAGATCCACCTAACTCCCTGGGGGTTCACGCTAAATAGCTGTCAGCCGGGCGGACACGAAAGTTAATTACCCCCTTACAGCTTGTAGTAGGCGGGACGGACATTTAAGCTGGATTATCTGACAGTAATCTAGTGAGACTCCCCGTGGGGATAGATCGATCTAAAAGCTCTGGGAATACAGCCTAAGGGAGGTAAAACCTAAAAGATCCATCTGAAGTAAACTTCACAACAAAAAGGTGACCAAATGCCACCATATTGTTTCAGATTGTATAACTTGGAAATGACAAAGTTTCGTATTACTCCAGAAATGATATTTGATATATACTGCTTACTTTCTGTACTGTATATATATATCTGGGAAAGAGAAGTAGGTCAATTTAAGAACAAAAGAAAGAAAAAAAAATCATGTACGTCTCTCCCCAAGCGGGCTTCCTGACTTGTATGTCTATGAGTGTACCTGAAAAATGCGACCCCCTCTGCCCAATTTAGAATGTCAACAAACCATGATTCTCAAAGAATTTGTTCTCATTGGATAAATCAATTATTACAGATACAAGCAAGGCAAGCAAGAAGTCTGGCAGTGAATCGCAAACTGCTGCTGCTACCACTCAGACATTAACTAGATATTGTAAACATATATTGGCACATGAATCAATAAGACATCAATCAAGTTTTATGGAAAATAAACTGAAATTAAATCTGGAGATTCTTTTGTCTATTATCATTTCGAATTTACATTAAATCTCGGCACGCTCGTCTTCATCACCATCATACTTCCATCGCAGTCTGAAGCGCGAAGTTCAAACAGTGCATATCAAAACCAAAAATAGAAGTCCGTACGTAGGAAACATGCTAGAGAACAGGTTTAATTAAGGAATTTTTTGTTAGCGGTATTATCACTTATTTTGTGAATCGTGAAAAAATCTGGATGACTGTCTATAACAATTACAGCAATTGAAAAAATTACTTTTCAGAATTATACAAGAAAAAAATGAAAAAAACGAAGGCAGAATAAATTTTAATTAAAAATGGAATCTGAACAACAAATACAGCTTAAAGCAAATGAACTTGAATATAGAAAATTTGCACTCATGATTTTGACTTATAATTAATTTTTAAAATAATATCGGTAGATCTACCTTACATGTTAATTGCCAATGCATGGTAGGACTGTGTGAAAACGGCATACACCCTCCCCTACACATACACTAAACACACACACACAGAGAGAGAGAGAGAGAGAGAGAGAGAGAGTCGGGAGTGGGGGGCAAATCCAATGCTTCTTCCCCGTTGCCAATTTCTTTTCAGTATCAAAAATTTTTTATTGTCAAATACAACGTAGCCTATATAATACCATAGACTTTGGTCGAATAATGTAGCTGCGTGCATGAACCCAAAAATATGCTATAGCACTATCAAAAAATAAATATATCTTGAACAAGAACGGTCACATTAGAATTCATCCCCCCCTCCCACCACCAATACGCCCCCTTTCTATTCATACCATGACAAACTCAGCGTGTGAAGGAGAGTGAAAACTATGTAAAAGTAGGTCAAAAGTTCACAGATAGGATATGCCATGTAAGGGTTCTTAGGGGTGATAGGCTATCTCTTTTTGTGTTTTTTTATTCTGCCAATTTTGAGAAGAAATATCAGTATCTTTCATTGCACTTGCTCAATATAAATTCAAATAATTCATTTTTCTTTCCTTAATCACGAAATTCGTCAGATTTTATTAATTACAAAATTTCCCTAGAAAACCTGTACCCCCTCTTTTGAATGCAATGTATCGTCTGCAGAACATCAGCGTCTGCCACCACGCTGGATGATTCTCGCTTCCCGGGAGATGAACAGTTAACGCGGTCTGAAAAATTTTAGGGAGAGTCAGATGAAAAAGAGAGGGACCGTGGCATCTGTAAAGTTCTACACGGTGAATCTGGACATGTGGGCTAGTTTTTCTCTTTTCTTTAAAAGTTTGCAATAAACTCTGCCTTTCTGTAACCCTATGCAACCAAAATATTTTTCTGGTATCTTGATACATCTCTCACTTCTGTCTCCCCCCTATAACGGTCCACACTAAAAAAATCATCAATCGTATGCCAATTTTATACAGGTAATTGACCTACTTTTTTTACCCATGCAGCTTGCTCATGCAGCTATTGTCGAGAATATTATGGCTGTGGAGTGAAAACGCGATACACGTCTGTGATATAAAAGTTATTTCTAATTACATAATTTACAAACAATGCATGTGGATCAAAGGTGTCCCGATTTGTGAGCAAAAGAGCTCATTACATTTTTAAAAATAATGAAAAATTAGAGACAAGCCAAAATCAGAAAAAAATGCATTTTTTCTCTTATATGCAAATTAGGTTCCTTGAAGTAATATATGACTGGCCGGAAGTGATGTTCATATCAGAGATTTGTAATGTTGATAATCTTGATGGCTTTAATGGTATAAATGGTGATTAAAAAAATATTATCGAAGTTTTCAGTTGTCATCTGGTGAGAAAGAAATTTTCTGCACAAACACAATCATTCCACGTGCAAAGAAAAATTAGTTAACGGCCATCAGAGATGCGCTGCAGACGTCACAGCTTTTGGGCGAAAATCACACGCGATATTTCCTCATAATCATGACATATAGGTTAAAAACTGTGATTGAAAATGGATATCGGCAAACCATTAAAATTTCGACAGCATTTCTATTTATTTGTGTTCGACAAGGATGAATTTAATTAGAATTACTCTCTCTCTCTCTCTCTCTCTCTCTTTTTAAGCCAATATTAACGAGAAAGCCGAGAGAAAAAATAATAAGCATAACAGTCAAAATATTCGGAAGTAAAAAATTCAGAGATAAAAATGTTGTTGGCCACTACAGTTCCTCTTCGTAGATCACAGGCAAAATTTTAAGGCAATTTGTAGCCGTATAAATTGATGTTGTAAATTAAATGCACTTTCACTAACTGCAGATGATAATTAAAACGGAATCAAACAAGTTAAAGGATAGGGAGTTATTGAGTGTAAGTTAAATTTCTTTAAGAGTCAACAAGTGTAGAAATTGTGGTAGGAAAAGATGGAACATGTCAAAGTCACATATAGTTCGATTTGATTGGTTAATTTCTCAATAGATTTGCAAGTTTCTGACACATGCAAACTAAGGATGGATATGGTCCAAGCATGAGTAATTCTAATGACATTTTTAATATTTTAAATCAAAAACAAGTCTATTAGAAATTACCTAATAAGTAAATGTTGAATGGCGGTTTGCAACATGAGAATCACGCAAAAACAATGGAAAGAAAACAAGTAAATGCATGATCAGTACGGAGAACAGAGTTTAAATACTTGTGAAATTGTATGAAAAGAGAGTCGGTGAATAAACGTTCGAAAGCTCTAGATCGTGGTTATTCTTCACTATAATCATCAGATTACGCGCTTCTTAATAATGTTCGTGATGCACAAGTAAATTACGTTCTAACAACGTAAGCAGTAACAACAGCAATTTACACGCAATTTGGTAACGTACTGTATGTATCGGTAACGTTACCAAATTACGCGTGGTTGTTGTTGTTGTTTACGTTGTTTGTGGTCCGTCGGCTTAACTATGCTATGAGTGGGTGCGCCATATCTAGGTGATGTCTCACGCTCTCACATAGTTGCGCCAACGGACATCAAACAACGTAAACAACAACAAAAATGATAACATCAACAATCTACGCTCAATTTGGTAACGTATGTATCGGTAACATATGTATCATGTGAGTAATTTTTACAAATCCTTTGAAGACATTTTTCGTCTTATGTCCCGTTTCTATTTAACTATAACGTTATGCGCAGTAAAAAATTAGGTGTTGGCTTACCAGAAGTTGGAAGCAGCTACCAGCTATTAAAAAGATAGGTAACGAATGAATGGATGGATATCAAACTCGCTATGACAACATAACAAAGTGAAATGTGCTTTGTAGAAACACACGTGCGCTCATGTATGGCGTCTCACGCACTGACATAGTTGCGCCGACAGACAACTCACAACTTAAATAACAACAACAATAACAACAACAACAACAATCTACACGCAATATGGTAACGTGCGTATCGGTAACGCAGTGGCGGATTTAGAGTTAGAGAAAAAACTAAATTGAGTTGA